GTTGTTTCTAGTTGGTTATATACCTTTAGTAATATAAAAATCTAATTGATAATTTGATTAACATAATTATAAAAATCGTCGATTAAGTTGTTTAATCGTTATAATAATAATTACATTTATTACTTTTGTTGTTTTGTCATGCCTAGTATTATCATCATTATCATAATCAACATTAACATTACCACTGTAATTGTTACCATGATATTATGATACATCACATTCATAGTTATAAGAATTATCATTATTATTATCATTATCATTATCATATAATTATTTTTATCATTGATATTATTATTATCATTATTATTGTTAACAACATTATTATTGTTATCAACATCATAATTGTTAACAATATTATTATTGTTATTATTATCATCATCATCATTATCATTATTATTATTATTATTAACACTTCCGACAAGGAAGTTATGTTTTCGGTCGCATTGGTCTGTTTGTTAGTTAATTGGTTAGCAGGATAACACAAAAAGTTATGAATTAATTTTTCTTACAATTCTACCACAGGTGTGACTTAGCCTGAATTCCATAAATTTTGTTGGCGATCCGGATAATGTTTCCTCTTTTGTTAACAGAATAACTCAAAATATTATGAACAGATTTCTATAAAAAAAAAAAAAAAAAAAAAAAAAAAAAACAGAAATGTGCCTTAACCTAACTTCGATTGCTTTAATTCCGGATCCAGGAAGTTTTGGGATGATTGCGTCATTGCCTCTATTGTCTCGCCTTCGTCAGGGAGGTTATGTTTACGGATGTCAGCTGGATACTTGAGAAAAAAGTTATTGTAGTGCAATTTCTTAAGTGTGAATATTTTTATTGCAATAGCGATCTTATTGCCTTGGCGGAGGTATGCGCTCTATGAGTGCTTCTAGCTATTATCATTATTATTACTATTACATTATATCATATACATTATTATTTATAATTATTTAATATCATTAATATTATTATCATCATTACTATTACTACTACTATCATCAATATCATAATTACCATTATTTTAATTGCTATTATTAGTTGTCATGATTATTATCATTATTATTATTTCTATTACCATTATCATTTTATCATTATCATTGTTCTGTTATTATCATTCCATTATTTCATTATTATTATTATTATTATTATTATTTATTTATTATTATTATTATTGTTATTATTACTATTATTGTTATTATTATTATCATTATCATTATTATTATTATAGTAGTTATAGTATCATTTTATTGTTTATTATATAGATTATTATATATTATCATTATTATTATTATTCATTATTCATTGTTTTATTATCGATTTTAATCATTATCATTGTTATCATTATTATTATCATTATTATTATTATCAATCAAATCATCTATAGTTTTATTACTATTACGATTATAATTTTTATCATTGTTATCATCATTATCACCATCATCCTCATCCTCTTCCTCATAATTATTATTAACATCATTATCATTAACAATATATTATTATTACAATTCTCATTTTAGTTCTTTTCTTATTATCACTATCAATAATACTATCATTATAATTCATAATATTGTCATTATTTACATTTACATTATTATCATCATTTCCTTATTTCAATTTTTTTAAATATCATTTAATTATCATTCTTATTATCAATATTAAACCTTTATTTATTACTATTATCTGTATCATTATCAATATCAATTATATGGTTGCAATCACTATCATTCTTCATCATCATTATTTATTATTAGGATCAATATCATTGTTAACATTACCGTTATCCTTATCATTATTATTGTTATTATTATAACTAGTATATTATATATTATCATTATATTATTATTTATTATCATATCATTAATGTTATTATCATTATTATTAATGTTATTATTAGTAATATTATTATTATCATTATTGATATTATTATTGCCGATTCAAAATCTTTCCTCAGACAGATTATTTTTCCCTGAAACCTCAAAAATCGATGGTTTTTCGTTTATTTATTTATTTATCTATTATTATTTATTTATTAATTTATTTTTACCTTAGGTATGAAGCACCTTATTATTATTATCATTATTGTTGTTCCTTTTATATTATTATTGTTACTTTCTTGTGGCTATTATTATTGTATAGTTGTTATCTCTATTACTATTGTTATTATTATTACTATTACTAATACTGTTAGTACTGCTGTTATTATTATTATTTTCATCATTATTGTTAATATGATTATCATTATCATTTCTATATTTTCATTATCATTATTGTTATGATAATTACTATTGTTGTTACTATTATCTCTCTCTTATCAATATCAAAATCATTATCATTATCATTGCTATTATTATCATTTTTTATTAGCATTCTTAGCATTTTATTGTTGTTGATCATTATTATCATTATCACTGTTTTTATCATCATTATTATAATTATTACTTTTTCATTATTATTATAATTATTATTCTATCATTATTATTATTAGTTCATGATTATTAGTTGTCATTGGGCCAAGTAAAAATACCTCTGGGTGGATCGGAAGGTAGGCATTTATTTTTTTCTATTTCTATTTTTTTTCAATTTTCGTTCTTTTTTTGCGAAGTGACGTAATGAACCTGTTCGTCGACACCACCTCACTCTCAACCCAGTGCTATAAATCACATTGGAAAAATAAAACTGAGGTTTAAATTCAAAATACAAATCTTGTTTACTTACCAAACCTTCAGTTAGATGACTGCCTTTTCTGATATCGAGACGATGCAGTGTCACTGGTCATCTTTTAGTGCCATTATCCATGAACCGTATTCGTGTTGACAAATGTGGATGATGTATGAATGAGAACGATTTCGATTATATCTTCGTCAGAAATACATGTATTTCTGACGAAGATATTATCGAATTCAAATTCATTCCTTTCCACAGTCAGTATCCATGTTGCAGCTCCGTGGTTTTGCTCAGTGTAGTCATAAATCTATTAGTTTTTGGATGGTATTTTTGAGAACGAGGGTTATAGATTTGTTGTAGATGGGAAGTTAGTGATACATATTTTTGTCGGCACTTTTTTCGGCAAAAAATACACAGGAGGTCAGGTTACTTTAACCAAAGTTTTTTTTTCTGCCGTATCCTTATTGCTAATATCAATATTATTATCTTTATTATTATCATGATCGATATTATTATCATTGTTATTAGCATCCATCATTATTATCATCATTTTATTATGATAATCATTACCATCATTCATCATTGTTATTATGATAATCATTACCATCATTATTATCATCATTATCATTATTACTATCATTATCATTCTCATTATATTTTTTTTCATTTACTGTATCAGCATTCTTAGCGCTACATTTGTTATTATCACTACCATTTTCATTGTTAGCAATAAAATTATTGTCATTATCATCATAGTAGTAGTAGTATAATTAACTATCATGTCATTATTGTTGTCGTTATAATCATTGCTGTTGTTGCTATTGCTGTTTTCTTTTTTAATTCCATTATTGTTATTATCAATATGAATTCTACTATTCTTGCTTCTATTACTATTAACTAATATAATTTCTTAAAGAGTATTACTATTATACTAATTATTGTTATTGTTATTATTGTTATTATTGATTATCATTGCCGTTATTTTCCTTATTATTATTGTCATTATTATCATCAGTATTATCATTATCATCATTATTATTATTATCATTATTACTATTATTATTATCATTATCATCACTATTATTATCATTAACCACTATTAATTTTCATTATTACTATTGTTGTTATTACTATTATTATCATAATGATTCTTTTTATCATCATTATCGTCATTATTGTTGTTGTTATTATTATCTTTATCATTATCATTGTTAGTATTATTATGATTATGATGATTATTATTATTATTGTATTATTATCATGATTATCTTTATTTTTAACATTATCTTTATAATCGTGTTTTTTATCGTTATGATTATCATTACTATCATTACCAGTAGTGGTAGTGGTAGTAGTATCATTATAATTATCATTGTTGTCCAGGTTATCATTTTTATCATTACAACTATAATTATTTTTTTACTATTGTCATTGCCATTTATTTTATTACTATCATTATTATTATTGTTAGTATTATTATCACAATTATTATCTTTATCATCATTATCCTTATTATCATTGTTATCATTATTACTATTACCATTATTATCACCTTTATTGTTGTTGTTATTGTTGATGTTTTATTATCATAATCATAACCAGTAGTAGTAGTAATAGTATCAGTAAATTACTCTTAATTGTCAGTTATTCTTGTTACTATAATTTTTATTCTCATTATCCTTATCACCATCATTATCATCAAAATTATCATCAACTTCTTCATCTTCATTATTACTTTTATCATTGACATTACCATCATTATAATTACCATCATTATCATTATTCTCACTGATATTGTTATTATCATTGCCATAATTACTTGTGTTTTCATTATCATCACCATTATCATTATCGGTATTATTATGATTATCATTATTATTATGATCATCATTATAATTATCGTCATTACCAAGAGTAGCAGCATTTTCAACATCATTAATTTCTATTATCATTAGCATCATGTTTTTTATTATTATTATTTTCTTTGTGGTATTCCCGTTTGCATCACCTCATACATTGCTATTAACATCATATTAACCGCCATTACTCCTGCAATTTGTATTACCTCTATCCCTATTGTGATATGACTGCTATCACCTTTTTCTCCATCAGGACTATTATCATTCATATCATAACTCTTGTTATCATATTTATTGCTCTACTGTTCATTCATTTCAGCAACCGACACTCCTTATATGTTCATGTTTACTCTTACTCTTTCTATTCTTATTCAGCAAAGGCAAAAAGGGAGATAAAAGGCTAACTGGCAACCCAGTAGAGGGAAGGACAGTGCCAGTATATAAAGATCTGGGAGTTAAAGTTCAAACCAGTCTCCTCCAACC